ATAAAAGGGTTCAACAAACCCTAAATCTAGATAAGCAATAACAACAAGAAGGTAACTCGGATTTATTACCACAAAAGTGATGCTCTGGACTCCAAACCCACAGAAATGGCTCCTTCTTGCTTTCCCTTGGCTAGCTCTTCTCCTTTCCTTGCAACAATGGCACCTCCAAGGTCAATAATGGCCTCCTACTTAGCTCCAAAGCTCACACTCGATTAGGGTTTCACTCAAGGGGCTGGTGAGCACAAATGACGGCCATTAGGCCCTTTAAATAAGTCTCAAACCCGAGAAATTAGGGTTTCATTACACAGCGCTGACTCGCCGAGTCCATATCCTGGACTCGTCGAGTCTAGGCGCGATCCTGCGTTCAAATTCGCGCCCCTACTCGGCGAGTTTGAGCTCCAACTCGCCGAGTCCCCCTCACAAATCAACAAAATACAACTAACAAGATACCTGATAAAATCCGGCTGTTACAACTCTCCCCCACTTGGACTAGACTTCGCCCTCGAAGTCTCGCTCTAAAAACAGCTCCGGGTGCTGCTCCTGCATCATACGCTCTGGCTCCCAGGTCATCTATGATCCCCTCCGATGTTGCCACTGAACCAAATTATATAAATTTAAAAGTAGATTAGTGAATGTACGAATAGAAGTTCCAAAAAATGATATAAATTTTATTGATTATAATATTTTATAATTGTATTGCATGAACAAATTTATGAAAAAAGGTTTCTAAATTGATACAATTAAATTTTAGGTACTAAATTTGATATAAATAATTTTTAGGGATTAAATTTGTGAAAAATAAATGCATATTGAACAGTAGGAGATAATCATAATTTAAAAATAATTATTATGTAATGATTAATTGTAGGGTTGTCTGAATAGCCAAATGAGATGTCTCTTTAGTCAACCCTTTCAATAGTTATGAAAGGCCTCGGATGACAAGACAACTTTTAACGATTATATGGCATTGGAAAACCAATTTACCATATAGACCATCTCCAATCCACTTTCATTTTTTCTCCCAAAAATAAAGTGAAAAATAAGATAAATAACGTTTCATCTCCAACCTTACTTTATTTTTTATACTATTTTTATCTCTAAAAAGTATATTCATAGTAGATTCCAATCTACCAAATTATATAAATTATTATACACACCCATTCTATTAATTTGGTTTTAACAAATATATAATCTATATATTTTTTCCATTACAAAAATATTAAATAAATAAGATTATATTTATAATATTGAATTATAAGCTTTTGTAAAATACATAATCGTGTTTTAAAATTTCAATATGTATTTAAATTTTTATAGGAATTTGATAAACAAAGAACAAACTTTATATTTATAATTAATTAATATAATTTAATATATAACACAATATTCTAAGTATTAAATATTACATTTAATTATTATTAGTAGATAAAAATAAACTAGAAATATATAAATATATAAAATAATGGACTAAAACAGACAACTCAAGTTTATCCTATTTTAGGGGAAATGAATAATATAACCCCCCTACCCCCCACACCAAATGGAAGAATAAATGGGATGTGGTTGGAAAAAAATGGGGTAAGAAATTAAAAAATAATGAAATAGGTTGGAGATGCTCTTAAACCATCTATATTAGGTCTTTCAAAAGAGTTTGCAATGCCAATAAAACCAATCATTTTTCTATATATATGCAAGACTTGCAAGTGATTTTTTGTTATTATTTTAAGTAAACAATCATATTTAAATACTAAACCAATCAAAATTAGATGACCTGCTAATTTCTTTTTTCAAAACTTGATCAATGAGAAGAAGTTGATGTTTCTTTGCAAGATCTTAAACTTACACCGATATGGATTCTCTTTTATGTCCAACAATCTAATTCAACACTTGTGGACGTCGACGAAACTTAAAACAAAAACGTTTTTCATGTATAATATATAACTAAGTGTAAAACTCATGTATTACATGGGTTAATTAAAAAAATTATAAATATTTAAATATTTAAGAACGTTAGATTTACAAAAAAAAAAAAATAAAAAAAAATAATGAATTATTAAAAATGATTTTTTTTCTTTTAGATTTAAATAAATAAACAAAATAAACTAATGAACTTTAATTTGATAATTCTGAAATAACAAGGTAAATCCATTAATAAAATTGGTATTTATTTATTATTACATTTATTGTAATTATTATATTAAAATATTATATGAAATTTATTAAAACAGAAAAGCTCATAAAATGACATGTAAAAATTAATTAATTTAAAATAATCACAAAGTGACATTTAACGAATTGAATAAGAGTGTAATATGTAAAAAAAAAAAAAACACTTCATTTACCATAGTAGATATAAATATATATTAACAACTCCAAAAAAAAAAAAAAAAAAAAAAGACCTTTTTATTATATGAAATAATAGGTAAGATGGAAATCATCATTTAAATTTAGATAAACATAATGAAGTGACCAAGAATATTCCTATAAAAAAGCATTTATATTAATAAAGTGTCTTGCAAAAGCGAAGTAATAAATACACTAACGTGTGATTAGATTCTACTATCAACTAAAATCCAACTCGTATTTTGTTTTGTTTTATGAACGACTACTACGCAAAATCTCCTAATTTGTTTAAAGAGCATGAAACAAACATTCTTGCCAAAATAGTACCAAGAAGCTTCCTACCTCATCATCTATGTTGGAAAGAAGCTTCCTTTTACAATAACAATTCACAAGCGACATGGTTATTAACTTTTCAAGGCAAAATTATGTTTTAATGATTTTCAGCGTACTTAGTTTTATAATGTTTTGTTTTATATTAAGGAATTCACTTCATATTTTAAGGATATGTTTGAGAATTTAAGATCTGTTTGTTTTTTTGAAAAACATATCTTCAAACCTCTTATTGTTGCGCGACGCAGCACATGCGCATCATTTTTCATCTCGCAGTTGTTTGTTTTTTAGAAGTCTTCGGATTGAAAAAACATTTGTGCGTGTTCTTCTTGATGCAGTACTTGCTTTGCCTCTTCCTATATCTTCTTCTTTTCTTTTCTAGCTAAAATATTGATTATATATTATATAAATCTTATTTCATATTTTTTTCATTTTTTATTCTTTTTGAAATTGTTTATTTTTTTATATTGAATAATAATAATTTGTTGATGAAATATCATTAATTTATGCTAAAATATCTTTAGTTTTTTTTTTGTTAAAATATCATTATTTTTGCTGAAATATCATAAATTCTTACCGAAATGTCATATATTTTTAAAATTTTGATATTAAAAACTATTTTCGAATTATAAAATCAGTTTATTTTTAATTTTTAATATCTACAGCAGCATGCAGATGTTAAAAAAACAAACACACTTTTTATTACAGTCTGCAGCCATTTGATCCACATCTTCTACTGCAGAGGGTTGTATAGTTGGTCTACAGACTTTATGAATTTTGCTTCAGAAAAACAAATAACACCGAAATAAATGTTATAATAAAAATATTATGTTAAATGTGAACTCTTTTTATTTTACAATATAATGGTTTAGCTCTTCAATTTATGAATACAACAGAGGAAAACAAAAATATATGTGAAAATAATAGGCGATTATAAATATTTTATAACTTTTTGGACCGTTTGTTTGCATTTTAAATATGAGAGTCGATCCTTACATAACATTTTTTTGTTATAAATATCAATTTATATATATGGTATTTTATTTATTTATTTATAATTTAGTTATATCACACCATCTTGCAACAAAGGACCAAACTGTTTCAGCCACTTCATAGAGAAAAAATAGATGTTACGTCGATTCCACCCCAACCCTACATAACGAACACAATATACCACTTAAATCCTCCCCCTCCCCCCTAGTAGCTTGAATCCAACAGACAACCGATCAACAACAAAATGCCAACAAAAAATCTTATTTTTTTTAGGTAATACTTTACACCACCAAATAGTTTGAGAATGACCCATTAATAAAACATCATCTATGTATCTTCTGCTTTGATTTATCGTAAACTCAACGAATTGTACAATCATCTAAATCATAAATCGTTATGATAAAAACTTATTGTTTTCAGATCAATTCCTTTTAAATATTCATTACCAACAGGACCGGCCTGGCCTATGCACATGCGAGGTGTGCGACTGTACATGGCTCGTGTCATTAGGAGGACTGAAATTTCAATCCATCACTAATCCATTGACCTATCGCAAATTTATCCCCATCTATTGATAATCCTAAATTATAGGGTCCATTTTTTGTTTTTGGATAGATCCTTAAAATTCAACGAAACAACTTTGAATCCCAACCCATAAACTCCAATGTTTCGTTTTGAATCCCAAACGCATAGATTCCAATCGGGGCACCACTTATATATTAATAGTATAGTATTGATTTGCTCCAATAGTTACATATGATGTACTAAATACGATTACATAATAATATGTATACTAGTTGTGAGACCATTTATTAAATGAGTTAATTAAAAAAAATTAAATATAAAAGTATAAATATTTGAGAACTTTAAATTTATAAGAAAATAAGAAAAATAATGAATTATTATAATATAAATATTTTTTATCATTTAAATTTAAACAGATAAACAAAAAAACTAATAAGCTTTACTTTTAAAATTTAAAGGTAAGTTTATTAATGATATTGATATATAAATTTATTACTATATTTATTGTAATTATTATATAAAATGACATCTGGAAAAAAAATAATTCAAAATACACTATAAAATAATATTTGGTAAATTAAATGAGAAAGTGACGAACGGTAAAAAAAAACTTTTATGTATTGAAGTAGAAGAAGAAGATTTTTAATAAATTAAAGGAAAAGACAGTATAAAATTGATCAATATCTTTTAGTTATCATTTTAAATTTTTATTCTTAAACTTAAATTAACTCATTTTTATATTCATATTTTTCGAATTACACCCTTTCCAAATACATGTTTGTGTCACAGGGTAACCACACGCGTTTAGAAGGATGATCATACTTCAGTTTCACACAGGAGGTTTCTTTGAAACAATTAAACCTTATTTCATGGAGATTTACACACAAATCCAAAAATCTAATCTTTTTGGCTTCTTCAGTCAGCTGCATTTCCTCGAACCTGCGTTTTATCCGTTTTATAAATGGCGCCGGTTGTTATTCTTCATTTTCTTAAAGCCTTCTGGTTTCAGTTATTGGTGAAGCTCTTTTTCTTCTTCGTTTTTCATCATCTACTTCTATTTGATGTAATGCAACCAATTCTTCTTCATCTTCTTTCCAAAACCTCTCATTCCTGCTTTTTTGTTGATTATCGATTTCTTATTTTGTAGTAAAGCTCGAAATCATCGCAAGATCAGTAAAAGCACATACATCTACCGTAATTTGACAAGGTATGTGTTAGTGAATCTAAATTTTGTTTGAATGTGTCAATTCGGCGATTTTTAACCTAATCAGGATTTAGGTCGTGTAGTACGTGTGGTTTATCGTGCTCATTCATTGTTCATATGCTTATTGCATCAATTTTAATTCCGTATTTGTGCAATAACATTGAAAGGAAAGTAAACCGAAATTGGATCTAATTCTATTTGCTGTAGCATTTTTGTAAGCTCCGGCATGAATTAACTGTTCATAGACCATAGTTACTTCTGTATTAATTAATATAGAGGAACAAATATCAGTAAACGACGTCGTACCACTGGAGATCAAATTGACTGCTATTTTTTTCCCTTTAATTAAAAAGCGTAGTCGGATATTTGGATATGATAGATCATTAGGTCGTAGATTAAGATTAAGATTCGTATTGGTAGTTTTTGCGAAAGCAATCACATAATGAATATTAATAATTATGATATATCATTTTGTAGAAATCCGTAGATTGGTTTTGAAAAGATACCATGAGTCCATGAGGTGCTAAAAAAGCATTAAGTTGTAATAGTATAGAGTTGGTTATTGTGAAGTTAGAAATGTATTATTTAATATTATAAAATTTTGTTTCTGAAAGGCTTGATACCTAAAGGTAGATTCTTCCATTATTGACACTAGAGAATATTCATATAAGTAAATAATTATTTGTTTAATTATGTTGAGGATGTTTTATACAAATATACAATGATAAAATATTTGTTATTATAATATTTTGTAATGCTTGTTGATTGATAACAAAATTATCTAAAAAGTGTTTTTTGTTTTTATTTTTATTTTTTTATTTTTTATATCAATCATAAAAGATTTAAAAATTAAATACATTTCTTATTATTATTTTTTTTTAATTTCAATCATGATATTATTCAAAATATCAAATATTATTTGTAAGATAATATGTAATATAAGTTTTAATTGTATGTTACTATTAATTATTATTATTGTTAATTAATTTTATAATCATTCATTATATTAAAATGTTATAAAAAACTTAAGTTTAGGTTCAAAGTTTTATTTTCTTTGCATTAAATTATCTGACGTTAATCAACGAATCTCTAATCATTAATCTAATCTAATAAGTTTGAAAATCATGAAAATTTCAGATTAACATGATACTAGTAAGTTGCTGTTTTTTTTTAATCAATCCCTTTAGAAAAAACTCGCAGTTAGTAATCTAATGACAGGAAGTGCCATAAAAAACTCTAGAATTGTTAAAAAAAAATATTTATGGAGATAATAAAGTGACAAGTGCACATAAAAATAATCTTAAAGAGAAAAGCTACTTAAATTTTATAGATTTTGAAATGGTCAAATGTATAACTGGTATGATACGTTTTCAGGGCCTTAAGCATTCAGATAACAGGGCTTAGTTCAAATGGGTGAAGCAAACGCCATAATCCACCAGCATCCACCACCACAACCACCACCACCGCCTCAACCACGTTATGATCTTCCTCGTCAAGATCTACTTGCCGGTAACAATACCATCCTATAAATTCAAACTTCCTTGTACTAATAATATTATTGGGAATCTTTGAGGGCATTTTCGTAAAATACACAGATAAAAGACGAAGGGACTTCATCGATATCTGTGTTCCTTTATGTGAAGCATTAATTAAAGCAGACTGGCAAACCGCAAAACACATCATCGGTAGCCCCGAATACCTCTTACGTTACAGCATCAATGAAAACTGCGAAACACCACTTCACATTGCAGCATCGGCTCATAGCAACACAGACAGCATCGAATTCGTTCGATATCTTGTGGGTAAAATGAGCAGGGCGGATTTGCAACTTCAGAACAGAAATGGAAACACTGCTCTTTCTTTAGCAGCTATAGCTGGAAATGTTGAAATGGCTAGAATTATGGTTAAGAGAAATGGAGACTTGCCTACTATCCCTAATGGCGAAAACATGATGCCACTTTATGTTGCTGTGTTATTTGGAAACATAGAAATGGCAGATTATCTGTATGAAGAGTCTCAACAGATGAATGGTCCTGGTTGGACACCTATTAATAGGAGTTGGGTTTTCTTGAAGTCAATTGAAATGGATTTTTTCGGTATGTATTTTACATACCGATATAATAATAATACACAGAATAGGGGCTACCCATTCTGTGTATTATTATTATATTAGTTAGGTTAGGCCGCCTAACCTAACTAAATTAGTTGTATATTGTTACATACATTTAGTTATTAACTAATTTTGAAATATTATTTTTCAGATTTCGCTCTAAAAATATTGGAACACCACCCACTACTTGCTCAAAGAGGGAATGGACTATGTGCATTGGCTCGAAAGCCTTCTGCATTTAATGAAATAAAACCACATTACATCAGAAGCATCGTCAATTCAAGTATCTTTTCATTATGCATTTTGTTATAAACGAGCTTTTGTATGCCCTTTTCATTCATCAACTTTGGTTTCTTATTTGATTGTTGTGTTAATTTTACTTTTGCAGTCTTCCATTTGAAGGCGGAGTCAGTGGACAATAAAGCTGTGCAGTTACTAAGAGAGATTTGGACAAGTATTGAAGAAAAGCCGAAAGCTGAAATAGATACAATACTCAGAGGCCCAATAGCTCTGGTAGATGGAAGGCAAACTTACCCCTCTCGAGTGCTTTTTGTTGCTGCAGAAACAGGCAACACTGGATTTTTGGTTGAGCTCATCCGAAGATATCCTGACCTTATATGGAAGAGAAATGAAAACAATCAAAGTATTTTTCATGTTGCTGTTTCTCATCGTCATGAGGGTATATATAATCTGTTGTATGAGATTGGATCCATGAAGGCTTTGATAATTCCAGTCAAAGATCTAGAAGGCAATAATATGTTGCATTTGGTTGGAAAGAATGCAGAAAAAACCCGACTTCCACATGTGTCAGGGGCAGCTTTCCAATTGCAACATAAATTATTATGGTTCAAGGTACATATTTGATATTTCTCTCAAATATTATCCATTTTAATTTATTAGTCATTTACATTCACCATATTGTATGATAATCTCCTATATATGTTTGTGTTGTAGGAAGTGAAGTCTATGGTACCCCCTCTTTACATAGAAAAAAAGAACAACGATGACCTCACACCATATGAACTATTCACTAAAAACCACAAACGTTTAGTAACCGAAGGTGAGAAATGGATGAAAGGAACCGCTAGTAAATGCATGGTGGCTGCCGCCCTAATAGCCACCGTAGTATTTGCAGTCGCTTACACAATTCCTGGTGGCTACGACCAAGAAACCGGCTTTCCTATGTTTCTTCACAACGGTCCATTCATAGTATTTGTCATCTTAGATGCCATTTCCTTAATCTTGTCTTCCACTTCAATCCTTGTGTTTTTATCCATTCTCACGTCTCGTTATGCTCAAGAGGATTTTCTTGAATCATTACCCAAAAAGCTTTTGGTGGGTTTATTAATGCTTTTTCTATCCATAGTCACCATGATGTTTTCTTTTAGTGTTAGTTTCTTTGTGATATATCGTCACAAGTTTATTGTCATTGCAATCTTCATTAGTGTGGTTGCGCTTATACCTATTGTTTCCTATGCTCAACTACAATATCCTCTTGTGAAAGATGTGTTTAGTTCGACGTATCGTTCTAGGTATCTCTTTAAGCCCAAGAAACCAGTGTTTTATTATCAAAATCCAAGGGTCTAGTAGTAGTTGTTGTTGTTGTTATTATTGTTGTGTGTTTGGTTTGGTTTGATAAAGATTTTGTTTCGAGAACATGTATTGAAACTTGTTTTTTATTATTAAAGTTTATAGTCGGTTCTTTCATGTAAAGTATATGTGCCTCACGTTATGTAGTTTTATTCTTTCATTCATGAATATTCTTTGTATCTCTTTTTAGAAGTATTGAAATTTGGTTTGTCATTTTCTTTTTAAACCATCCTCTTCTCATAACATACACGTGAGCATCATAACTTTAATTTTAACAGATTACACATAGAAAACATATTTAAAAGTATTGTGTTTCATAATTGAATAGCCAAGTGCAAAATTGTATTTCAAAATTCGTATTGATAATACTCATTATAAAAAAAGTAGTCTTGTAGTATATGTGATAAAAAGTAATAAATTAAATATATGTGTAGATTTCTTGTAATATAAAGTTAGTTTGTAAGCTTAGGTACCCAAACTCACTCCCAGCACACGTGTTTTACATCTGCTTCCTCCATCGCTTTTATCAGTCATGATTAAATCCACTCTCCAACGTCTCTCCCCCTCGACAAATTCCATGATTCTCTATTTGGTTAGGGCTCATATCGACGACGTCCCACCGATGGAGAAGAAGCCGACAAGAGGAGTCGATGAAGGACAAAGAGGCTAATGTAGGCAGCAACGACTTAGTATTGCAGTCCTTCTCCGCTTCACCGCTTCCAATCCAATGATGTCTACCTATGATGAAGTTTAAAGACCATTACTCAGACAACCGATGCATCTCATCGACTTCCCCCTCTATTCTACTCTCTTAACCCTCTTTCTGTCTAACCCTAGATGACATAATCGACGAACAACTGTCATCGACAGTGTTACTAGCTATGCTACTACTTGAGGAAATTCAAAAATACAAACTGTAGACGACTGAGAGGCTACGATCTATAGGTTAGAAGATGTTTAGTTGTAATGCCCCGTTTCGAATAAAGTCCTAAATCGAGGTTGTGGCCCGAAGAGTGCTCATCATAAGGATTAGGGCCTTTATAAAGGTAAGATTTAGGCACATTTATATGTGGGTAATGTAGGTATGTGACCCAATAGCCCGGTTTGCACTTTGGGGCAAGGGTAAAATGGGAATGTAGTGTTTCAAACTTCTTGTATGAATTTTGGATTTTAGTTCGGCTGGGTTTCAGGTTAAATAAAGTTTATAGAAGTGTAGGGCTTCTCTTTACCTTTCCGTAGATATAAGGATCGTCGGAATCGGATTTATAACGAAGAAGTTATGGCCTTCGGAAGTTTCATGGTTTTCAGGCTTAGCCGAGTACGCGAGAGTACTAGTGAAAAAGGCAGTACGTTGGGCGTAATGACCAGGATGGTCGCGAATGTTCTTCAAAGTACGTTGGGCGTACGCCAATCAGATCAGAACCCTATTTTAGGGTCTTGGACCCTATTTAAACACTTTATCTCATAACCTAACCCTAATATCTTCAACCTCCACCCCTCTAAACCCTAGAAATCATCCTTAATCATCCATGGTGACATTTTGGAGCTCATGGAGTCCGTTTTTGGAGTATTTGTTCCATTTCCAAGAAGGTGGAGTTGATGCAAAGATGGAGGATCAAGGAGAAGCTTATGGATCTGGCTTTTGTGACTTATTTTCAGCTTATTGAAGGTATAAAGCTTTGAACTTGATCATTCATCTCTTAGATCTACCATTTATGGGTTTTGGTCCCTTTTTGGTCCCACAGATGAAGCTTTATGGTTCAAATCTGATTCTTAGGCTTAGGGTTGCCACCCTTGGTGCTATTTGAGTCCTTAAGGCAGAAAGTTGCCATCTTGGAGGTCTTAATGGGTTCATGCAAGAGTTATAGCCCTTTTCATGGAAGTAGATTGCTATACTTTGAGTATTGGGTTCATATGGGTCATATAAGTCACCAAGTCAGCGACTTTATGGATTAAGACGTTAAGTAGAACTCAGATCTATAATTTGGTCCCTTGGTTAAAGCATTAATAGCTTAATAGCATAAAGGACTTAACAGAGTAGTACGCTGGGTGTACAAGATGGTACACACAGCGTACAAGTCACGAACCTAGTACGCGCTGCGTACAACTAAGTACGCCCTGCGTACTCAGTCAGAATGGGTTTCGCTTTTTGGGCTTCGGTGTAGACCAACTGTTTGGCTTGTTTATCTTGGGCTCGTTGGGTCATCTGGTTGTGGGCTGTTAATGATGTGGGAAAAGGCCCCAAAAGGATTTAGTCCCAATTTAGAAACTTGGGTCATGGTTTGGGCTACAAGTGTTTTTTAGCATTTTGGGCTTAAGTGTTTGGATTATTATTGAACCATCGGGATGCTAGGTGGTTTGGACTGAAAAGAAGGATTCGGGCCTCATGGCAAGACCCAGGTAGAGGTTTGGGCCCAATTTGGAAAATTGGGCCATTGATGGATTTATGGACATTATAGTGTTGGGCTTTTGTTTGAGTTAGGCCTTAGATTTGGGATCATACTGGGCTAGGGGTAGAATGGTCATTTTACCCCCATGCATGGATTAAGGATTATAGGATGGGACCCCATTGCTAATTGGGTATATTGAGCGGTATTGATAGCTCAGGAAGTGGTTAGGACAGCAGCTAAGGATTTCTTTCAGGAAGCTTCTGCATTCAAGGTGAGTTATCCTCATTGTACTCAAGGGTCTAAGGCACCAAGGCCAACCCTATGTTTGGTTATTAGGATTATTACTATTGTGATATGTTAACTCGGTATCCTGGTAGATAGGATGGTTATATGCTAGTATGATCTGTTAGATAGGTATCCTCGTAGATCGGATGTGGTTGTGCTTAATGGCCTATAGTTGGTTTGACTTTCTGCATGCTAGTTGTTATGCCAGTTAGGTAGATCTGTAGGACTACCTGTAGTATTATGTGATTCTCTGTATGTGCATTAGTTGTGTTATATGTCAACTTATTATGTGGGATGGGTTGAAGAGAAACTCCTCCGTGCAGTAGCCTACTAACCCGGGAGGATTCCAGATATGAGCTGAGAGAGACTCGTATTGTGGGCTCGATGGCAATCCAGATGTGAGATGTGGGTCTGGAAGGCAACACGGACTCACATTGTGGGCCCAAGGGTAATCCAGTCTATAAAGTTGTGGACCCAGTACATGCTGTTATTCGTATATGCATTATTTGAAGTGTATCCGTATGTTGGCATTCCAACCCAATGGTTGAGGGACTGGGGTATTCCATCCCGATGGATGATTGGACCCATAGTATGTTGTTTATGATTATATGTGTATTGTTGTGGCTATGGGTAGTTTGGGGTAACTCACTAAGCTTTCGGGCTTACAATTTCAGTATATTGTTTCTGGTTCAGCGGATGATTATGGGAAGGCGATGGCGTGACCGTACACTTCCTCGATTGATAATTATGATTTCTGGGAACTCTGATGATTAAACTATTTTGAAAACAAATTGTAATAACTAAATGGTTTTATATGATTTAAAAAGTTTTAAATTGGCTCGAATTTTATGGATGTTACAGTTCAATCGATGTCTTATTTCTTCGATTTTCAAACTTTTGAAAGATGAGTGATGGCGTAGATTATATACATCAATCTAGTAGAACGAGAACTATATATATATATATATATATATATATATATATATATATATATATATATATATATATATATATATATATATATATATCACTCTTTCTCTCATCATTGTATTCTGTTTTGTTATGCTAAAAATAAGAAGAACAACAGAATCAACTAAGATGTTGAAGGTATACATAGTTGTGAAAAAAGTTTGCAATGTCACCTAACTGGGTGTTCATTGACCTGGTAATTATTTTGTATTTATTTGATCATTTTTGTCGATGGTCTACAACTCGCCATTGCTAAAAAAGCATAGTAAATTATCAAAAAAAATCTTCCATTCATGAATTTCTCAAAAAATAAGGTTATCAAAAGATGTTTAACTATTTTTGAATATGCAAAACCTTTCACTTCACATTATTAGCATATTATATTATTTGTATCTTTATATAAATATAGATATATTTGTAAATATCCTTTCCTGATTTATCTTTTGTAATCTTGGGTTTTCAACTTTATGTAACATCCTGTTTCGAGAAGTTTCTTATTTCGGGATTATGGACAATAAATGGATCAAGTAAAGGTATTGGGTTTCAAAGGAATAAGGTTTAGACCATATTGGATGTTGATAATATTAGTTATGCGATATAATCCCTTGGTTTGTGTTTTGGAGTCAATGGGTAAAAAAGGAAAAGTGATGTTTTGGACTTCTTTAATGGAATAAGTCACACATTGATAGGTTAAGGATGTTGGGTGTCGATATCTCAGAGATGTTGGCTGTTGACTGGGTTCTTCAGTCACTTCCTGATTCGTATAGTGAGTTCGTAAGAGAGTACTATACGATGGTTCACGACGTGACCCTCATTGATTTGACCTATTTGCTTATTGATGCTGAATCAGCGGTGATTTGGAGCACTGGTCAAGAAAATTTGATTGGTCGATCAAAATCCCATACTTCATTGGACACTAGCTACATTGGAAGTCCAAAAAAGGTTGAGATTGTCCCTTGCTATGTACCAAAGGAGTCCATTTGCTTTTACTGCCAAGAGAAGGGGCATTGGAGACAAAGTTGCCCTGTTTACCGAAGAGATCTAAGAGATGGGAGAGTCAAGACGTATGGCTCTACTTCAGGTAAAATCTGTTAACTAACTCTATAAGTTCCTATTTTTTGGTTCTTAATACATGATGTGATAAAATTACATTTTGATGTTTTGCAGGATCGAAGAAAAGAAAGGAAACTTAAGGAAGAAACGTGTTGAATCTGATCACGAAGAAATGGATTTCGATCGCATGGATTCAAAGATCGGATTTTTGAGCTGCTACTTTAGAGTTAGGGTAGATTGCTAAGAAATATGTAATAGCATAGTTTTTCAGTTGAATTGCATTGTAAGGACAAGTTTTTCCGTAATAAAATAAATTTTGAGTTTTATCTTATTTATTTATTCTTACAATGGCATGTATGAAAAAATTGATGTTTGTGTATTTCTATTATTAGCAAAATGGATTTGATTCTTAATTTGGTTATTTGTAGAAGTGTCGAGAGTTTACCAAATAGGGAGAGTTTCTCATCGCCCAAGTTTCAATTGGATAGAAACTTGGGATCATGCAACGTGTATTGTATGATGAATGAAAAACTTTCACATTTGGGAAATTTAGACTAATTCTTTGACAAAGTGTCAATTGAAGGACTAGGAGATCGAGTACACTAGGTCGTACCTTGATCAAGTCTACCACAAGAGTGACAATGATGCTCGTCATGATTTACTAAAGTTTAGTAAATATGGTTATACATATAAGATTGAGTGTAATTCTAAGTTGATTGAAAGAGTTTCAATCAATAGCAGAATGAATAAGAAGAATAAAGTAGGAAGAAAGATAAATTTTCTCTATTCTAAGAAGAAGGTAGAGTACCTTTTATTGTGTTTTATGATATTCTTAATGATTAAGAACCATATCTCAATTGATCCTCTAAGTGAGTCTTAGTACATTTGTATGTCTAAGAAGAGGAATCGGGAATTGTAGAAATGGTTAAAATCAAGAAGGCAATCATACTTCGTTCCAATATCAAGTCTTAGA